GGGATTATCTTTCTGTTTCATGCAACTACACATGACTGTTGTTATCGATGGTAGAAATAATAATAATACTTATACTAATACTAATAATGAGGAAAACAGATGAGAATAGATTGTGATATTTTGCTTTTAAAACTGATTCGCATTATTGATTCTCTGGCTATACGTTTAACTTCAGTCTAAAAAAAGAGTTATGCGAGATTAAATCTATCGTATATTCTCATTACTTTAACACACAACGAATATTGATCCATTTCATTCCCTTTGAGTTCCAAGTGTCACTAAAGTGCTCTTCGATTTTTGAAGTTTCAATAGAGGCCGCGATGTTTTGGTTTTTATGGGGATGGGGATCCTAGCTCAACATGATCGACCTTCCCTTTATTCGGGCCTTTTCTTATCGATTAGTAAACTAGGCTAGGTTTAGGTGTACGTTAGCTGGGAATCGAACTTGGCGAGCATTCCTACTACTGGACATTGGATGCACACTGCCAAGGCAATGGTATATTAAGCATTGAAGATTATTTTATCCTTGAATTATTTGTTCATCTTGAAGTCAATTGGTGGGTGGTGACTAGCTGTGAAATCTAGGATGCGCATTTCATCCTATTTCAGACTGGTCATCCGGGTGTCCCTGCATTCCCCAGTGAGTGGTGGTATTCCCATCGAGGCTGGAACCCAGTGCCCGTAGTTTCAAACTCCAAAGCGTCATCCACTCGACCACGTGGGCCACGAGAGCCATCTCTTGTGCAATGGTCTTAATTATTATTTAATTCAATTTAGATTTACTCGTCGATTGATTGGACTGAAGTCTTCAGTCTCAGGCTGATATGTCGGTTACTATTGGAGATTCTACGACGATGTCTGTTCATGTAACTTGAAGTCAGCTGGTGGATGGTGACTAGCAGTGGCGTTTGGAACTAAGGGCACTGGGTTCGAACCTCGGTGAGAAAACCACCACTTACTGGGGAATGCAAGTACATCCAACTAGCTGACAAGTCCCAAGTAGGACGAAATGCGCATTCTGGATTCCACTGCTAGTCATGACCACACATCACCGAATCATCTGTAAAGGACTTTGGTCCAATCAATCGACGAGAAAATCTAAATTGAATTGAATATGTGTTCATCTCTTTATCTCAATTTATCTAATCCCCAAACACCAATTGTACTTCCCCCTCCCCAGGCCTTCGCTATTTACTATGCTCTGATAAGAGACATCTGTTTCATTACAAATGAACAGATGTACTTTGCAGTACAAATATCATTATTATTATCATTATTATTTTTTTACTTAGTAAGAACTATATAAGTTGTACACACTACTGATATCTTGGAATAATTACACATTTCTTTATCAAGATGTGAATGACTGTGTATATATATACAAAGAATTCATGCTGTATACAGTTCCTAATGATTTTAATTATCGTTTTCTTTTTTAATGTGTGAGTAAAAATGAAGATTAAAAAGAACTGTAAAACCTCAAGTCATTCGAAATACTCTATTTGGATTTAATTTCAAAACCATTCGATGATCTTGATGCTGTATCGAAAAGTAGCTGGTTTCACCGTCTGTTTTCACCTAACAGGGAACTTCTTAGATAAATTTGAGTGGTATATCGCTCATAAGCTGGTTATATTTTGGACTCTAAATTTACTTCATGAATAATCTCCATCCAGGCATATTAATGAAAACAAAACACGTAGTTTAGCAACGAGTCTCATTTCGGTGGAGAATTCATTTTCTTAGCTGCACAATCGCAATTATATTTATGACAGTTATTTTGTATGCATGTGTACATTAAGTTTGTCAAACAAACTACAAATTACAATTGGTTATGGTTACTTTTTAACTAAACAGGTGAAAATTAAGAAGTTTTTGGTGGAGTTACGTAATACAAAAACGGTCAAGAAAATTGGGTGTTAATGAAACTAGTGTAGTAACAAAGGTGGAGTTGTCACAAACAGTTGTTAAAAAAAGAAGTTACGTAATAATATGAATAGTTGGATGATTGAGCTGTACTCATATACACAAAGGAACAAAGTAGAGAATACGAAATTACGGAAGAGTTCTAAATGAGTACAAGAATCATAAGCAATTGAAGAAACAGGTAGACAAACAAAATTAAGTCATAAAAAATCAACAAAGTTGTTATCATGATAATAGAAGTGATTGAGTTATTAATTCTCTTTTGTATGCACAGCTTCGGTTTTTTCAGTGTGAATGACCAGAGTTTCAGCGATACAAAGAAGGCGAAACTGTTATGCCTTTGGTAGGTTATTCTTGACTCTGTAGACTACTTTGAAGGAGGAGGCGATTGTTGAGATGGAATGATCAGTGTTAACCAGGTGTTCAATTATCGCACTCCTTATAGCACTACTATTGCCTTTCACAATCATGTTGGATAGTGTTCTTGAATCTTGTTGGACAGGATGCGCGTCGAACGATATGATATATGCAGGTATGGGTGGTGGTTCAGTGGTAGAATACCCATCAATTCGGTTCACAGTCAATTCTCGCATAGACCTCGCCTAGTTTACCAAGCGATTATAAACCTGGAAAAGAAGGCATGCTGAGTTGGTGATATCAGTCCACGCTAACTCCTTAAAAACCCCACCACCTCTGCTGAGACTGTAAAAGCTTAGAGCCCTCTGTCCTACATGGAATGCGAGGAAGTAAACAAAAACAAATTGCCAGCAAACTCCTCCTTAAATTGTCTGGTAGTGCGCTATTAAGAAATCAAACTGTTGCTACAGTTAGTAAAATTACGTAGGCAAACAGATATTTCCCAGAATTTCATAATAGAATTCTTTCGTTTTTCAAAATTAACTTGTCTGAAAGATTTACTAGGTCAAGTGAATAGCGTTAAACAATCCTCTCTATCTATATTTATTTTTTCAAGTGTTGTTTTGCAGGGATTTTCGTTTGATTGCATGGAGGATTTCATCATCAGCTGACACTGCTGAAGAGTCCCAAACTTGGACGAAACAGCTGTCCAGTACTCCTATGTTTTCCAGTGGTTCTCTAACTGATGTCAGCTCATGATGAAATCCTTATTGCACGGGATTTCATTGGTTTCAAGTTTAATAACGGAATGATATCAGTTAGAGAACCATTGGAAACAGATTAGTATTGGACAGGTGTTTTGTCCTAAGTTTGGGAAGCACCTATGACCCCACCGAAGAGTGAACCTAGGAATTTCAGGTTACAAGGTGAGCTTGTTGACCATTCAGTCACTGGGATGAAATCCAGGGGTGGGTTCATGAATTCTAACTACTGATAATGATTCACTGAATTCATATCTAGTGGACGAATCCTATTATGTTTGGTAGACGACTTCACAATTATGGATACAATGTTGTGTTGAATTGTAGACAGTTCAAAGGAAGCATTGTTAACGTGTTATTAATGGTGTAAAGTCATATAATACAGTGTATGATTCTTGAAGTAGAAAATGTTATCTGGAACTATAAATTCGTCTGAATGATGAAGTGGCTATAACGAGTGACCTACCCATCTGATAAATCATTTATAAAGCAAATTCAAAGCAACACACGTAAGCAAACACTATAGTGTTTTCAGTCAGATCACATCATGGTTTACCCTAGTATACATAACTTTACAAATAAATGTGAAATGTTGTTGGTATTAGATGGTTGGAGGCAATCGGCCACAGGAAGCCCTGCTTGACCTAGGTTTCGTGCTAGTTGGCACTCATCAGTCAGCAAGGCATATCTGCAACCTCAGAGGAACTCATGTCCCTTCTGAGATTCGAATCCGCGTCACCCAGTGCCGCCTGCGGTCAGAGATGTTACGACTGAGCTATTCGGCGTCGCGACTGACCTCCTGTAGGACTGCAGTGGATACTTTAATTGGACACTAGTCAGTAACTAGAGTGATTTGTCTAGTCCTGTGTTTGGTGCAGACTGAATTCTATCAGTCAAGTTTGTGAATGTGAAATATAAGATTTCGCATATAGATTGTGCAATTAGTCATAATAATAATAGTATTAATAATAATAATTCTATTAATAACAAAGATGAAAACCGTGGACAGATTTATGATAACAAGGACAATGAAAAGCGGCATGATTAAACAAATAAATGTTCATATAGATGCAGTAGATAAAACCGTTTCTCATTACAACTTGTTATCGCAAATTGCTCCTTTTTTCATCTTTTTATTTACTAGACATTATTATTATTATGACTAATTGTACAGTTTTTATGCAGGATCTTATCATCCAGTCGAAAAATTACCTTGACTGGTTTATATTTAATATTTTCTAGTAAAGTTGTATATACTAGAGATCTAATTGGAAGCAATACTAATCGCTAACTCATATCCATTTTTGAACAAACTTGAGATAATTTGAATAGTGACGAAATAATTCTTGAAAATTAATGTGACGATCACTAGTGGTGACTAGTGGAGTCCAAGTGGTAGTGTAGGACAGCACAAATGCTTGCCGATGACATATGCTTGTAGTGGCTCTCAAATCGCGAATTGACAGAAGTTAGAATTTATGAACCGACGACTGTATTCTGTCCCAGTGGTTGAATGACCAACCAGCACCTCCTCTCTTTGTAATCTAAAGGTCCTGGGTTCGATCCCCATTGAGATCATGGGCATGCATCACTGAAGAGTTCCAAAACAGGACGAAATGGCTGTTCAGAACTCCAGCAGTTATTTCCACCAGTACTCTAAGTGATGTTAATCCATGACCGCATCCCTACAGATTAATTTTTGAAAATTGTTCACTTCAATGTGTTGTTTTGAATTTTACTATGGGAATCTTTAATATTTTGATATTTCAGTTTACACAATATCTTGATGTTGTTATCGTTGTTGTTTTTCTTTTCAAAGAATCCAAACAGCCTGTTGAGCTTGCGCGAACAAAATCCGTCGACAGTTCATTCTTGTCAAAACCAACTCAACCAGCTAAACAGGTAAGACTCTAATTATTTTCTACAGCAGGTCAGATGCGAGGACAAATAGTCGCCATGGATGACATTCGCTAGTGGCAGTGCCACATTATGGCCAGTGGATAGGGTCTATGAGCCCGTCTTGTAACCAAAAGGTGCTGAGTTAGGACCGTTGTGGTGGGTGTGTACTACTGAAGAGCCCCAAACTAGGATGAACAGCTGTCAAGTACTCCCTGCAGGCTTTCCAATGATCCTCTAACTGATGTCAATTCATGATGAAATCCTGAATATTTTCCCTGCATTAGCTCATAGCTTATATGGAGTAAAGAAAAATGTGCTGAACCACTGGTTACTTCACCATTGATTGATATTTCCTTTTTCTGGGTTTCATGCTTTAGCATCATCATAATTTGTTTTCTATGAGGAGACAGTTCAGTGTGTATAGTAGTAGCTTGGTATTGCAAATTTAAGCATCGGTAGCTCTCAAGGCATTTATACATGCCTCAGTTATGACATAATAATGATGAAAACAGCTCAATTCTGAACAATATTTTTACACGGCACTGAGTTCTTAGTGCATTTTATCGCATAATGGCTACTCTTAATACAGGATTTTCAGGTAAAGTAGTAACATTGCGGATGCCATGCTGTTCGAGACGAAGCATGGATCCAATCTCTTAGGATATTTTTCCTAATGTCACTTTAGAAATGACATCTAACGAATCCAAAGATATAAATAATTAGATGATGAAAAACAATAAGAAATGATAAAAGTTGACACAAACAGCTGGATTCAAATTTAAGTAGTCTAATAATCTAATGCGTCGGTGGCACAGTGGTTAGGACTCTCGCCGACCATGCACATGGTCCGGGGTTCGAGCCCACGCTGGCGCACACCTGATATCTATGGTCGGCCTGCATAATTTGGGCTACCGATATTCATGCTGAAAATTCCATACTTGTACCAAAAATACAGTGTGGAATGAAGCTGTAAATCAAAAAAAAAAAAAAAACAGTAAGACAATGCTTCCTATTATCACTGATGATATTCCTAATTGTGATGCACTGGATTATGCGTCAGACTGTGCATTGAGAGTGAGAAGAAAAACACGTTGGACCTATATGAAGACTCTAGGAGATCTGGATGTCGCAGGTGATATATGTTTAATGTTACACAAACTCGAAGAATTGCAGGCGAAAACACAACAAACTGACTGAAGAGGCAGAGAAAACATCAATCACTATAGGTGAACATGGAGAAGACGGAGGGGTGATGAAGATGACCAACCAACAGTAGCTGCAACAACTACCAGCAACAGTCACCATCATCGAGAGAGATTTGACAGGGGTTAGTTACTTGCTTCATTTATCTAGGAGGCACGTGGTTCCAACCACAACATTTGGAACGAATGAAGATGTCAGAGAGGGCCAGCATGGATCGGAAGGGGCAAGATACGCCTTCATCAACCTGAAACTAGTTTAAAATATTCTCTGCACTCCGTAGAATAAAGAAGAAGACTCGGATTTTAAATACAAATGTGAAGTCTGTCGGCTCCTCCATACGGATAAGAAACCTGAACTATGTATCACGAAAAGTGTTTCCAACAAGTTACAGACTTTTACCAACAGCTTCCTGCTTCGCTGCCTCCATAGTGAAAATCAAATGGTTGGCTGGCAGGCCAGAAAAAGAATCAGCAGCAAGAAACTTCGTCGATGAACGAACAAACCAAGAGGCGATCACTCAACAAATATGTAGGAGAAAATGGAGATGGATCGGACATACATTGAGGAGCCTATCGAATGACATCGCACACCAGGTCAATGCTCGAATGGAATCCAAATAGGAGGCAGTGAGTAGGTCGTCGGTGCGAGGGTGACATGAAAGAGATCGTGTGAGGAGGAGGAGGAGGGGATGAGAGATTATGGTCATTCATTGACCCAGCTGAAGAGGACGGCAGAGAATAGAAGTGGAGATGTGTTGCTGAAGTCCTATGTTCCACTGGGAAACTAAGTTAATAATAATAATAATAATTCAAACCGGCCACCGTATCACTTAAAGAATCACTGTGTAACAATCCTCTACTGAATTCGTTATAAAACTTGCGAAAGAATTATTGAAAATGAAGGATTACCATAGTTATGATCGGTACTATACACTGTTTTATTTAACACAGTACTTCGTCTTTGTGTCAGATGGTATTTTATATGAGACATATAAGTAGATCGCATGATCTGATAAGAAAAGTTAATCGAAACGTTAACGCTGACATTAGTTTGTGAATAAAAAATAATGAAGAAATCAAGACGGAGAAAAAGTGTGAATCTGTTATCATTATTTGCCCTTAGGGTTCCTAGTAAAACATAGGGCTTCAGTAGCACACCACCATTTCACATGGTTCTCTGCCATCTTTTCTTTTTTGCTGGCTTGATGATTGCTCATGAGCCTTTAGTTCCTCCTCACAAATTGAAGAGTATGATATTTCGAGTTAAATAGGTTAGAAGCAAATGAAGCAACACTACGGCAACTAATTTAGTTTTCAAACCCTAAATATTCTCTAAAGTCTAGAATGACATCGAGGTGATACTGAGATGTCACAACAATCCGTCTTTTGAAAACCATCTACTTCAAGGATAAACATCTTCTCTCAGCACTGAAAGTTTTACTTGTCCACTGATCATTTTCACACGCATCACTCACTGCCATGTAGAGTCGTCCATGCTGTGTGAACGTGGTGTTTTCTTCCGTATACACAATTTCTTGTCTTCATGGGAACATGAGTTCTCTTAAAATTACAAATATGTGCAACTATTGACTACTGTTGACCAACTAATAACCAACGGATGGCATCATTTTCTCATAGAGAATAGAATTCATCCTGTGTAGGAATTTCACTGGATTGTCAGGTTCGTCTAACTTGACTAGAATGCTTCTCTAGAACACGACACTATTATCAACTGATCACCTGAAAATATCCCTTACATTGGGATAGACAAAAATTCAGGTAGGGAAAAATGACGACTCGAAGGAGAAAACAATGTACCTAACAACCACGACAACGTTTGTTTATCAGAGAAAATACATAGTATATCTTTAATTGAACACTAGTAACTAGTGTGACGTGTCTAGTCCTTTCTTTGGTGCAGACTGAATTCTGTCAGTCAAGATTGCAATGTGACCACTACTCTAGATAGCTCGCCAACACGGTGCACATTGATTTGGTGATATTGGATGGTTGGATTTAAGTCTGCACCAAAGAAAGGACTAGGCACGTCACACTAGTTATTAGTGTCCAATGAAAATACCCAATCCAGTCCTACAGAAGGTCAATTAAGAGCCCGAATAGCTCAATGGTCACGTCTCTGACTGCAGCACTGGGTGATGCGGGTTCGAATCTCAGAAGGAACATGTGTTCCTTTGAGGTTGCACATACGCCTCGCTGATTGGTGAGTGCCAACTAGCGTGAAACCTGGGTCAAACAAGGCTTCCTGTGGCCGATTGCCCCAACTACGTAATAACATCGTATATCATATTTACAAAACCTCAGGAGTTTAAGCCACAAATAAATAAACAAACATCCCTCATAAAATCAGACCATTAATAAACTAATCAAAAATAATGTCCAAGCAGGTCGCTATATCTGTGAACGCATAAACCATGACTTCACGTCTAACAAAGAAGGCTGTGCTTCCCAACAAGTTGATACTTTATTTACACAGTGGACTGTACTCTATTTTCATTTGACTGATTTAAAACTGTTCACTGTATTCCTTGTGTTGTTCATCTACCTAAATGGTTGAGAAGAATATTTCATTCATATTTCTTTGTTTGAATTTTACATAATATATTGTCTCTGCATTCATTCATCATAGACCGTAAACTATTTTTTCTCTCTATTTAAGGCATCCAGAATTTCACAAAATGTCAAGGTACCACCTATTGAAGACAAAGCATTGTCTGATTTTTTCACAAGTAAACCAGCCGTTGAGTTGTCTAATGAATCATCTCCCGTCCAACTACCAACTATGTCTGCACAACCAGATAAAGAAATGCGGAGCATGTATGAAAGGTGAGAAAATATAATCTATGAAAAAACAAACAAACTAGAAAGCAGTACGAAATTTGCATATATTCAGAATTCATTTCTTTTGCTAATCATTCGAATATTTTGTAATTGCGTATAATGGAGGTTAGATAACAGTGAAAATATTAGAAAAGTGATTACAAAAGTACGTGTCACGATTGACAAGCTACTTTGTTAACCATGATTACTGACATTATAGCCTGAGTGAAAAGTTTTGATTCAAAAATTTATAGATTTATACCCATTTATGAATTTGAATAGGACAAGAAAAACAGTGGTGTGTACAGAATAAAATGGTACCATCTTTTATTTCGTTGGCTTCTCATCAGCTGCTTCCAGACTGAAGTCATTATTAAATATATCTACAGAAATAATTTTAACATACTTGCACAGAGTTCATTTTTAAACAAAAATCAATCAATATATGCATACAATCCTAATAATAATAATAAACACTTTATCCCAAACAATAATAATCATACACAATGGAATCTTTTGACATTACGTAATCAGATGAGAGAGAGGATGAAAACATCCAGTTACCAGGGTAAGGAAAGACTGATAACCGCTTCGTTCCGAACGCATAAATCGTATTTCAAGCGCTTGATGGAGATCGCTTCGGCAAATTTAAGGAGAATTGAACTCTTTTGCCTATTGATAATTTTGAACGATCGTCCGACGTCCACCTCATCACCTGTGTCAAGGAGAAGCCTGGCGATGACACTATTGAAAGCATTTGTTCCCTTTAAAGACAGGCTTTTCACTATATGTTCAGAAAATTGGAGGTATGCCCTTCTTTCTGTTCTCCCAATGTAACTACTCTAGCAGATACATGTAAATTTGTATATACAGTTGGAGTTAACATGAGAAGGATGTTTATCGATTTTTGATTGCACCAAAGAGCAAGTTGTTCGATAAGCGGGAACAAGCTTAGCTGCAGGATAAGCTCTGCCTAGAGACATTCTCGATCTTCTGCTGACAACTGCTGTAACTTTTTCACCTTTATAATCAAGTTGAATGTAGATGGGCTTTTTCTCCAGTGTGATTTGTTCGACATTTGAGACTTCAGATCCTCCGCACTTGTTAATGAACCTTTTAAGGTAACTGTTGTTTTTCAACATCTTTTCGAGAAATTGTTACACAAACCACTGTTGTTCTTGTTTTATTCAAAGCTTAACTTTCTGAGGGTTTGTTAAATATAACCATACCAAGTTGAGTGTCTAATATAAGTTGTCGTTTTCCTTCTAGTCATCGTTTCCCCCAGTTCGATTTTGTTTCTGTTGTAGTGTGGGAGATATTTTTAAGTGGATATAGCGTTGCGTTGTGGAGACACATTTTTGTGAAGTTACACAGAAACCACAACCCAGTTGTATTCTTTCATAACAGTGTGATAAAAGTATTTTAATTATAATTCGGAGTTATTTGATGAGTATTCCTGTTATTGTCAAGGTTTCTTGAATACGTGCTCACCTTGCATAATTTTCAAACTGTCAACTCAATTGATTTCAGATACTTGGTTAGTTAGTAAGAATGTTTAATAAGCTTGATTTTGACTACTAAAGAGTTAAATCTGAGGATGAAATGACAGTGTACAAGTTTTGTACTATTTCTACTGTCTGATACCAACTGTTTTTAACATACTTAGTCCTGATATTGATCGAAATCTTGACAAACAGAACATCCTTATGTTTAGATAATCTTCAAAAGATTTCTGGATAGTTGCAATGAACACCAGTACTTATTCTGTTGGAAAATTAAGCCTTACCTTCAGATAAAGATTTCATCAGTGATACCAACAGCAAAACTTTGATGGTATTGGCATAAAAGTGAACTTACAGACCACTTGATGCCGATTATCATCTAAGTTGGCTTAAATATTGTTTCTACAAATTCGGTTTTAAGAAATATAGAGATTACTTTTGAGAATAAAGTATTTGTCTTAAGCTTGTGGCACACTGACTATACACTTAACTTCCAGCTAAATGGATCGTGGGTTCTAACTCCACTCCACTCCACCTACGGGGGTTGAGGCAGGCAGGTAGAGTATCACAAACCTTCGCATAATTAGTCTGGTTTATTATCTCAACTACATGTAATCACAAATGATTCCTAATGTTCATTGGATAAATGTAAACGAAGTAGGGTGAAGAGACAATGAAAATATGGATTATAGTTTAAGAATTTATTTAAGCTAGATCGAACTGTCATTATCAATGTTCACCACATGTTTTAAATGAGTGTAATAGGTTATTGTGATGTTTATTTATAGGTTTATCGAGAATTTGCAAACATTTTGCATTAGAAATAATGTGTAGAATAGTTTAGTTGGGCTTACAACATGAGACACATTCAAACACAATAGGAGGAAGGTGAGTGTGAACTAGTTATTTGACTCGATTTATTCTGATTCACGGAAAGTAGCCATCCAGATATGAAGATAAGAACAAAAAGTTCAACGAAACAGCCTCTTTTCGGTGAATTCATTCACTCAGCTGCACAATCACATTTATAAATAATTATTTCGTGTGTGTGTATGTACATTAGAGTTGTCAAACAAAAATAAAAAAATAGAAATTAGTTAGGGTTATTTATTGTCTACGTCATCAATGTGTATCAAAAATGTGATGAGTAATCAAATTGTAACTAGCGGATAGGGTTGGGGTGAAGATCGGTTAGTATTGACAAGGGTCAGGTTACGTAATACGGAAGACACCCAGAAAAATAGAATGACAATGAAAAAGCATGGAGACAAGTGTGCAAAATAAACTGTGTAGTGGGTAGAAAAAGCAAATAACGGGTTAGCTAACAGAAAGGTGTTACTAAGACGTCATACGAAAATTTAAAAAAAACATTATTCAAAAGAATGGATACTGAAAAAAGAGTACTCTTTTCGATAACTTCATCATCAGGCTCTACAGTTATATATACATCATAGTGAATGAATGAATTAGCGTTATGAACAACATTAATGTTTAAATAACATCAAATCAATAATATTAATAGATTACAGCTCAGTAGCATCAACATAAAAATAAGCTGAATGTCAGAAAAATTAGGAAAGATAATATTACAAATTCATGAGTTTATAGTCTCTACTGAATGTCGACCAGGGAAGTAGTAGGGCTGGACTTGCTTCTTTTGAACACAGAGCACTGGTTGTTTGAGGCGAATTGCCATTGCCTCTGCTGTTTGGAGCATGTGGTGCTTCGATGACCTTGGCTTTTTATTAGGCATCCGGTAAATTATAGAGAAGGATTCTTCCACGCTGGCTCCGTGGCCGGTTTGTACCAGATGGTCCAATATCGAACTGTTAATGGTTTTCACTTCACCTTTACTTAGCCATAGTGGGAGATGTTCTCGAGCACGAAAAATCTAGCTCCTAGAGCAACGGCCGATATAACTCGCTCCACAAGCGCAGTTGAATTGGTAGATACAATTTGAAGCGGCTAACTAGTCTAGGTACTTGATCTTTCAGTCGAATCTTCTCGTAATTATCTCACTCGGTATATCGCTCTTGAATTGTAGTCGTACATAAAGTGACTCTTGTTTACTAGTGGTAGTCCTTTCCAGCTTTCTTTGTCATGTGTTTTTTGATAAATTTTCGCGATAGCTATTTTCGATCAAAGTATCCTATACAATGTTTAATTCATCTCATTTACTTCTGAGCATATAGCTTAACTAACTCTGTGGCTGAGTTAGGGTCTTCACTAATTTTTGTACTTGATGAGAGCGAAGCTGTGAAAGTTTGATGCTACTGAATGAATCTATTGATATTATTGATTATGTTATTTAAACATAGTTGTTCATAACACTAATTCATTCATTCACTATAATATATAACTGAAGAGCCTGATGATGATGAATTTATCGAAAAGTATTCTTTGTTCGTAACCATTCTTTGAAAAAAAATTTTAATAGGCATTTTTAATCAGTTAAAAAAGATTATTCACAAAGTTGTGGAACTTGGAGAAGTTTATTCTGTTTATATAAATCAGGGTTTTCTATCCGGATCACTAAGGCCTTGTCAATGCAAAGTATACGGAAGCTTCTTTTGATTTAGTAGGTGACTTTGAAGGAATTCGTCGAATACATTTATTGAATGACCAGTGTTGGCTATATGTTGAATAATAGCACTGCTTATTGATCCACTGTTGTATTTTCGTAGCCAAGTGGAATGGTGTTCTATCTGCTCCACATGATCAAGTGAATTGGCAGATATACATAGAAGTGGTGAAATGCGATACTTTATCTTTCGAGTTGTTGAAGAACAATGGGCGGCTTGAGGATGCTAGTCGAGATGTAGGAGGAGAGAATGTTGTTTTCTGGTCGTTAGGTATTCTTCTCTTTAAGATGCCAGGTAGAATGTTGGATCTGAACGCCGCATTCATGTATGGCATCTTCTTAGACATAGAGTTGCGTTGTTATTTGTTGATTTTCGCCTTATGTTATGTATAAATAGCCATTCTCAAACGATGTCTTCTTCAAATGAGTTATCTCTCCCTCTAATTATTCGGGGCTGGATATTCCATGGATTGTAGTCGTAAGAGATATTGCCAGGCATCGCTTGCGATTCAACATTAACTGTAAACATCTGTCAGGTGGCCGTTCCACGTAGGCTTTCAATATATTGAACTCCTCAGAGTCCCATCAATCTTCTTTGTTAGTTGGACGTCTAGAAATGACATTGTCTCTCTGGTTTCTGCTTCATTTGTAAATCTGATGGCTGGGGTAGCTATTAAGAACTGAAGGACATCATTTAGGTCGCATATGTTATCACAGATGACAAAAGTGTCATATAAACATGCGCTTTGTACAGAGAGAAATCGTCGACTGTCGGTTTCAACGGACCATTTTCCCAAAATTGCCATGAAAATATCTTCAAGTAATGAGCCTAAAGGTGAACCTATAATCACACGATCTTTCTGTCGATAAATAGTGCCATTGAATGTGAATTGGACGTTCAAAGTGTATCCAAGTAGAAGTTCTTCTAACTTGGTTGTAGGTATATTCCGATATTGTAGTTGTTGTAAGAAGCAATAAGTCTCAGTAATCGGGACATTTTTGAAGAGAGATTCGACATCAGTTGATATCACGTGGTTGCTTCCCACTTTCACATCTTTAATATGAATAGACCTACACCCATATAAACCTTTTTGAAATCTGTTTTCCATTTTTAAACGTACCGGTAGAAAATAAAACAAGTATCTAGAAATTATAATTCTGTATTTGTTTTTGTCATTCCTTTGAAATCCGGGGGAACATACGGCTCCAAACTTTAAGCTTTGAAGCTTCAATAGAAGTGTTATTGTTTTTAAGGTGGTGGAGTTGCTAACCTCATGCCTAAGCTTCCTTCTTCACTGGGTTTATCACTGGCTAAGTGAGATTTAGGCGTGTGTTGACCGGGAATAGAACCCGAACTGCGCGCAAGGCTAGTAGGCATTCTGACTCACTCTATGTCTGTATAATGTAACTTAATTACCATAAATCTGGTGTGGTTATTGCTACTTATCTTAATGGTAGTGAAGAGATCATGGAGTACAGTGTGTTATACTTATTATCACATAAAAGTGATCAATATTAGGCGAACAGGTAGAATCACTGTCTGTTGTTATTATTTCTAAAAGTTGCAAGTGGAACATAGGGCCTCAGCAGTATATCTCCATTCTACTTGCTTCTCTGTAGTCTCTTTTACCTTCATGAAGGACTGCCCGCACGATTTAATTTCTTTCTCATATAAACACTGTGTTATCCTCGGACTAACTCTCAAGTCTTCATTTCAATTTGAGATTACACTTAACGCCTAGTGCATTACATGACTCTACAGTCACCATAATGCTTGTCCCATTCATCGCCGTTAACTTATGCATCTTTTTTATGGGTGACAGCTTCTTGGTTGTTTCCCTAAGTACTAGATTTGCTTGCTTCTAATTCTTTCTGACCGTCTGATCTTCCGTGTGGAGCGAAAGCATCTGTTCATAAAATTCTGCAATAGTTTGTCACAAAAGCTTTGAATGATGCCATATATCAAGCCTCTGAACCAGACAAAAGCAGTGGCTTGACATTAGTGTTAAAGATTGGCATTGGAGTGCAGTAGATTCCCAAACTGATTTCACAGTATGGTCTGCCTTGCTTTCTCTTGGCTTTGACATCCTCACCGATACTGTCTGTAGTTAAAACGATGCTGCCTGAATAAGAGAAAGAGATGATTTGCTTTAGATTTCTCCCATTGATGGTGACTGGTTGTTGTTGGTTAGGTATTATCGCCACCTGTCTCTTCTATGTTTACTTGAAATCCTGTCTACTCTACTTCTCCTGAAAAATTGTTGGTTCCGCTCGTAGACCTTCAAGTTTGTGTCAAGTACCCTGCATAGGTATCTGTAAAATTCTGAAATGTCTATTTAGTCAGCGTTGATGAGTGAAATGTAAGTTACTGTATGTGTACCTAAGAAAATAATTTATAAAAATATTGATTATCTAATTGATAGATGGTGACTAGCAGTGGAATCCAGGATGCGCATTTCGTCCTATTTGAGACTCGTCATCCGGATGCACCTGCATTCCCAATGAGTGATGATGTTCCCACCGAGGCTCATTGAGGAATGGAGGCACATCCAGATGACGAGTCCCGAATGAGACAAAACGCGCATCCTGGATTCAACTGCTAATCACCATCCACCAATTAACTTCTAATGACATGTCCAGACATCGTCGAAGCATCTGCTCAAGAAGCCGACATTTCAACCTGAGACCGAGCACTTCGTTCAATCAGTCGACGGGAAAATCTGAAATTCAATTAAATATTGATTATTTCCTTATTTCTTACAGGATTGTCGATGCTAGACGTGCAGCTAGACCGGAAAAACGTAAACCTCCGAAAGACTTTAAAAATCCCCTAAAAGCATTAGAACAAAGAGAAAACATCAAATCTAACTATGAAGAAGTACGTACAAACAAAACGACAGAACAACAAGCCAATACAAATTTAACACCATTTCAACCATTGTTACGTGCTGTGGATCCATCTTTAAAAGTTGGACTAGGTAAAAATTATTCTTTTTTCCTTTTTTAAATTTACTACTAAATGTTTCAGATGACTATTGAAATCGTTGAACATTTTTGTACAGATTTCAGGAAACTGCGTTTGAAAGCTGGGATGTAGTCATTCATTGCATTCCAATTGAAATGACTGAAACATTCCAATTGCGATTTGGTATCTCTATATAGCCAAATTATATACACCTTGTCTTCAACGCGACAGTTGCACACTGCGTTTCCTTGGGTTCCTTTCACGTCTTCCATGTAACTATGAAACGCTGTACCATTTGCTTTCTCTGACATCAAGTCTATCTATCTCCTTGCTGTTTGATGTTCTTTGGGCCGATAAACATCTCTTTACATACTACTGATTAATCTTATTGGTAGCACACGCCACAGTCGTCCCCCTATCAATTAGTTTCGTACAGAGTCGCTGCAACCTTCTTGGTTCTACGCCTTCATGTTGTACCTTCGTCTCAGATTACTTATCTCACTGAATACATTTCTGCAGTCGGATGATGTCAATCTGTTCCGAGTGAAACATACGGATTCAAACCTTAGACTTTGAATTTTCAATAGCGGTGATATCGTTTATATTTTCTCAGGACAGGGTTGCTAGCCTCACGCCTAACCTTCCCTCTTCTCCAGCCTTCCTATCACCTGGTAAAATACACTAGGTTTAGGAGTGCTTTGGCCGGGAAACGAATCCGAACCACATATGTGATTGGCGAGCATTTAATCAGTGAACCATCGAAGCAGTTATTCAAAGTAGTCTGAAATATATATGAAAACTAAACATTGGTTATGGTGACCTATATCAGTCTTGTTCTCGTCGACAGGAAATTCTGCAGACTGATATAATATACAAAACGGCTGTGTAACAAAGGCAAGTAAATGTATTGCACTCCTAATTACTTGACGTCGAACAACACGCTGAAGACTGGATAGCTTGTTATATCGGCTATCATCCAGACATTAGTTCGTAGAAATGTTACTGATTTCCATTGAATGTTACAGATTTCTGTTCTGTCCTCCTCTGTTCATTGTAAATGTGTTTATTAGGATTCCTGGAACAAGATGTAATTTAAAAGTCATCTCATTTCATCTTATTAGTCAAGCCTGAAAACAAGTATACCTCATATCCAGGAACCAAAGAGGCCAAAAGTGTCATTAATCTGAATGTGAAAATAAGGCTTGATTTTTTCTTTTTGTAGAAGTTCGTAGGTATTTCTGCAGCTGAGTTTTCCTAGTTTATTTTCTACTGGAATCTTCTTCATCCTGACTCAAAATATATTCAGTAATTCAAGTTTATTCAGTAAGTGACTTTAGTTAGAAAACTAGTACTAGAGTATTGAGATGTTGTTTATTCCTAGTTTGGGATATGTATTATCAAATCAGGGGTCGAGCCCAGGATCTGTATCGGTACACAGCGAGTTTGTGGAACATTCAGCTATTGGAACGAAATCCAATGGTGAGCTTATGAATTCTAATATCTGCTGATTTGTGATGTATCAAAGCATAATGAAGAGATATATAATATTTACATTCTCTTTCTTTTGAATAAAGCAAGAACAACCAACAGTTTGTGCAGAATAATATGGCACCATCATCTATTGCATTGGATTTTCATCAGCTACCACTTACAGCCTAAGTAAATTATTAAGTTTATCTACAGAAAGTTTTAACATATTTGCAAATTTATATGTTGTCAGTTGACAGGAGGTCTCAGACTTAGTGAGCAGTGCTCAGAAAGTTGCACTTATATAGTTTTTGCACAGGTAGTTCAAGTTTAAGCAAAGTAGAGGTACAGGTCGAATCCAAAGATTACATAGTCAAATGAAAGAAAGAATAAGAACATCTAGTTACCAGGCGGGCAAGGATAGACTGACAACTACTTCTTTCTGAACACATAAATTAAGTTTAAGGCGTCTGATAATGATTACTTAGACAAATTTGAAGAGAACTGAGCTTTTTCGCCTATTGATAAATTTAAAGGATTTTCAATTTTAACCTCATGACCTTTGCACTCATGGCTTTAACCTCATTCTCCCTTGATCTAGTATAATTTTGCTTGTCTCTTGTTTCTATGATTTGAAATGAACTCAGTACATTGTTACCCAATTTATTTGTCACTCAACATTCTACTCATCTCTCCTCATTATTACGTAACTGCTTTACTATTGTATGCATACACTTAAATACACTTCAAATTGAAGTATGCGCTGAAGATGTCACCCAGTAGGGTGATGAAAGCTTCGCAAATTAACCATCCAGCTCAGAGAACAAAACCACATCAAAATACACTTACTTTGTATAAACTTGTACTCTCTATGGAAAAAAACTATATGAGCACAATTTTATGAGCACTACTCACTAAGTCCCAGGCCTCCTGTCAACTGATATCGTGTAAAATTTGCAAGTATGTTAAAACTTTTCTGTAGATGAATTTATTAATTTCCTTAGTCTGTAAGTGGTAGTTGATGAGAAGCCATCAAAATAAATGATTGTACCATATTATTCTACACAAACCGTTGGTTGTTTTTGCTTTGTTCAAGTTTATATAGGGGAATAGATGTATGAAATTTTGTTTCTTCTTGCACATTCGACTTTATTTTATGATTTGTGAATATCTCATAACTTCAATCTGTTAATGAGTAGCAATTAAAATACTTCAAAGTTTTCATCTTATTACTAATGTGTGAATAAGGTTGTTATTTTAGCTATAATATAGACATTGTTTATCTCTATAGTCACCTTTTGACTTATTCATCTAAAATTTGAAGAAAACAACTCCCTTTTAAGCTTAAGCTGTTTCTTTTTACATTTATGATTCCTTGCGTTCCGAGTGAAACATATTGCACGAATATTCTTTATTGCTTTATTGCAGCATTTCAATTCTTAATTAGACAGTAAATTCCCAAGGGGATGGTTGTGGTGTATATGTGCTGGTAGGGAATGGGATCTAAATGGAGTAGATTTCACACTTTGAAAATGAAAAGTCAAGAAAGTTATCACTTAATTGGAGAGAAATCTAAATCTCTATAATTCTTACCTTTTGGATATAAAAGTTGACACAGTAATAACATTAGTTTACTTAAGAAATATATTTTAGACAAGCAGTTTTGCCTATCTATGTGCAATAGGTAGTACATACAGTACAACGAAAAAGGATTGTATGTCCTAGACACTGATTAGTGATAAGTGTAAGCAATGAGCATTATAACCTATTATTATTATTGCTCCCTTGGGTTCCTAGTGGAACATAGGGCTTCAACTGCACGTCTCCATTTTCTTCTGTCTTCTGCTGTACTTTTCGCCTGCATCCATGTTAATCCATATTCTTTCAACTCCTCTTCACACGATCTCCTCCATGTCACCCTTGGACGTCCCCACGCCGCTTCCCTTTCGGGTTCCACTCGGGGGCTTGGCGCGCGAAGTCACCCAGCGGTCTCCTCAGCGAGTGTCCGATCCATCTCCACTTTCTCCTGCATATTTGTTGGGCGATTGGTTCTTGCTTTGTTTGTTCCCATAATTCCTTGTTGGTGATTCTTTCCGGCCTATGCTTCAGTAAATCTATATATCACGATGATAAAATTATAAGTGAATTACTTAATAGAAGCTATGTAGATGATTGAATTAGGATTATTATCAGTATAAGGGAATCGAGTCTTTCTCTCTTTACCTCATTGTTCATGATTGTAAACACTTGTGAAAAAGATATATACAAAAACAGGAAGTTTAGAGAAGAGGTTCTATTGGGCGACTTTAGTCGCATTCGTATATATACAGTTGTTTTCCGAAAAAATAGAATCGCAATGAAAGAGATGAACTAGTGTAAACGTAGTTCTTCATATTCATCAATACATAAGAGAAGTTGAATTAGGTACTTAATGAGATAAATTATTTATTCATTGAGTTTCAATCAAGATTTACATAAAAATAGGAAGTGTACGCACGAATTCAAAAGAATGGAAAAGTTATAAAGGTTATGAGAATAGTAGAAGTGACTGAAGAAGTCGCTATTTCGCATTCAGAGCTGCGGCTTCTTTATGCGAATTGCTAGAGCTTCAGTACTGCAAATTAGGCGGATGCATACTACCACTTTGAAGGCAAATTGTGTTGACAGTGAGGAATGGATAGTGTCAACTATATGTTCAACTCTTACACTCTTTATAAAACTCCTATACCTATAGTATTTTTGCACCCTTTTAGCCAGAATAAGCATTAAACAACCGACATACTTGGCTTATAGGAGTAGGTGAACTGATGCACGCATGAGGATGAGATAAAATGAGAAATTTCATCTTTTATACTTTTAGACCAGTAAGTAGCTGGAGAGCACTGTTCTTAAAGATCCTGTTGTATTAATTTTTCAAAAATCTGTATGTAAATGAGGTTGTACACCTGAATAAGACGAAATCACTGGAAAGGGTTAGAGTCTTCACTGAAAACTTGGATTCAGGGATGATTCATGAATAGTAAAAATTGTCTTTAGTGTTATTAACACTGGAACGCAGTTATTTAATGAATAAATCTCAACTAAAAATGGCTGTGATTCTGTTTTCTACATCAACAAGACTGACTTTCACAAATACATTTTCTTTTCAAGAAATTATGTTGATAAATTGTTTTAGTTTCCATATTATTGCAGTCTAACTAAGTATTTCCCTTTAAGTATATACTGCATATTAGCCTCTACAACGAAAGTCATTCAACTCAAAGTGACTGATAAATCACACATCATAGTCAAAAATAAGATTAAGTATATGACTATTTACCTGAAATAATCCTGAGAAATTATGCCATTTATCTTTGTTGCATTGAAGTACTCCCGTTATTAATTTATTTGTTGAAGACATGTCAACTGTTTCGCAGCCCAGGAGATGTATTTGAGAGGACTCATAAATCCCTTGTGAGCCAGAAGGAGGAGCAGACTTGAAACGCCTTATCAACAATTTCCTTCAGTCATCATAAAAATCAGATTAGACCACGGATTAACATCAGATAGAGAACCATCGAAAACCACCAGAGAGTACTGGACAGCTGTCTCCTCTTCCTAGTTTGGGACTCATCGGCAGTACGCATCCACCACCTGGGTTCGAACTCAGGACCTTCCGGTTACAAGGGAAGCTCGTATACCATTCATCCACTAGGACCCAATTCAATGGCATTCTATGAATTCTGACTACTACCAATTCATGATTTTAGTGCAACTGGCACCAACCAATGTAATCGGCTGGAACTCCCTATTCACTTCCAACTGGTCACTACTTCTCGCTAGAACTCCTACAGGCAACTTCGTTCTGTAGCCAGCTAGTCAGTCACTAGCAAGCCGCTGATTAAATTAATTCAACTATGACTGACCTAATGAAGGAAAGAAAGATAGAACTGGAAAAAACTGAATTACCACATTTCAAAACAGACTAATTAGCTTCAATGAAATCAAAACAAAAAAAGGAGACGTTGAAAACACAGTCGTGATCTTTACTACACTATCAGTGTTAATCTACACTGCTGTTGGTTTGAACATTGTTTTTGTATTACCTAACAGGTACTGATTAGTTTGAAAAGAAAGGATTTATAAACAGAAAAGAAATTATGACAGGTAGTAGTAGTAGTACTAGTGTTCACTGATTGGTATTCAAAATGATTGGTATCAATATTAGTGTTATTGTTTTTCTTCAAGATACTTCAAGCTGTCTAAACTAACAACTATGGGGGGTGGGTGGGTGGTAAGACGTCTGTATATGTGAAGATGAACGAAAAATGAAAGTGTTGGGTATACTGTTGAGGTTTATAACAGATGAATAAAACAACTATAAGCACAAGTATGCATAAAAGTTTGATGATCCAGTGAAATAACTTAAAATTAAGACATCAACAGGAAGAGGAGTGGGTAGATAGAATTTCCTGCCCAACTTGTTGACACCAGTTATCTACACCAATACCTTGTCTTGATTGCACTCTTAAGCAGATCTGCGCATAGCCAACATTAGATTCATCCTAATGAATTACACTAATGACAGATAACAATTATATCATCATTTTTGTCCCCTTGAGTTTCAAATGGAACATGGTTGAAGCTGCAACCAGCAAATGACCAATTCACGATTTTATCTACAGTCATTTTTATGCTGGTTGCATTACCGCATATAAGCTTTCATTTCCGGCTTACGGGATCTCCTCCTTGTCAGTGTAGGATCACCGCTCAAATCATCGCTTTCCAGTCACGTGTGATGTCTTTTAATAGTCTCAACAGCGCATAATCAATCCATATTCATTTTCTACGGTGTACTTGTTAGGCGATAAGTTCTTGGTCGGATCGTTGCCTGCCAGGGTTTCTTGCTGTTTGTTCTTTCCGACTGGCCAATTTACTATCGAAAATGTGGAGTCTATCGAAAGCAGCTGTTGACGAAAGCTTGTAGACCCGTTTGGGAATGCTTCTCTTGGAGCTGTAATTGTCTAAACCGCACAGAATCAATATTTTTTAATTAGTAACGAAGATGTGTGGATCTTGTTCCACATAAGAAACTACAGTTATCTGTTCAAATGAGTCAATGAACAAAAAACGCAGCAATATTCATGATCTACTAAGTAGAAACGAATATCCGACTAAATTCGTAAGCAAACGCATGAATTCACAAAGTAAGAAGTCGAAGGTGCCCATTGTTCCAAGGAAATCAGTCTTCCTAAGATTACAATCCACCGGTGATGCCAACAGTGAGATCTTATCACAACGTCTGAGAAGGGCCTTCAAAAGGACTTTCAACACATCTAAGCTTTGCTCTTTGTTCACTACGCAACCAATACTTAGTTCAAGAAATAAAGATAGATTGCTCTGTTTCACCTCTTCCATGTGTATTTATCAGTTTAACTGCCAGTGCGAAGCTAGTTGCATCGGGCGTACTATCAGGCAAGTTCATCGTCAAATTCCTGAATACCTCTCATCTTGATTTGGCAAAGGTCCGAATAAAGCTATACGCAGCTCAATATTAGCTCATTTTGTCGATATTGGACATCAAGTCGACTCTCACAAAGCTTTTAAAGTTATTTATTGTATATCACCCAACCTCTCACACGGTCTAGGAGTACGACCTTTACATGCAGCAGAAGCAATTTGAATTCATCTGAACAAGCCTAATCTGTGTGCTTAAAAGAAATTTGTACAGCCCCTTTCTTTGCCATGGTCAACTACATAATATGTATTAAGTTTTAAAAAAGATTTTCTCTCCACTCTCCTTGCAACTATCTCGTGACCATGTTAATTTTTACAATTCTAGTTAATTCCATTAACTTGTTTGTATTTTACGTAATTCTTATGAGTCATTCTATTCATCTAAGTCACTTTTATTTCACAGACTTCTTGATTGCGTAATAACTTGTCGCTAATGATTAAGAATTAACTTATCTTGAATTCCGTGAATCATTTTCACACACCCCCATTTCAGAACTTAGATACCATGTTACTAACAGCTAATAGTTAATCGTTTAGATGACCTTTAACCTCTTAATTTCACCTCCTCCTTTACACCTTAAACTGATTAACTAAAATAACCACTTATTATTTTTATTATCATTATTGCTCCCTTGGGTTCCTAGTGGAACATAGGGCTTCAACTGCACGTCTCCATTTTCTTCTGTCTTCTGCTATACTTTTCACCTGCATCCATGTTAATCCATATTCTTTCAACTCCTCTTCACACGATCTCCTCCATGTCACCCTTGGACGTCCCACACGTCGCTTCCCTTTCCGTCTGGTTCCACTCGAGGGCTTGGCGCGCGATGTCACCCAGCGGTCTCCTCAGCGAGTGTCCGATCCATCTCCACTTTCTCCTGCATATTTGTTAGTTGGCGATTGGTTCTTGCTTTGTTTGTTCCCATAATTCCTTGTTGGTGATTCTTTCCGGCCATCTGATCTTCAGTATTGAGCGAAGACAGTTGTTAATAAAGGTTTGCAGCCTTTTGGAAATATTCTTTGTGACCCACCGCCAAGTTTCTGATCCGTATAGAAGAACTGACTTTACGTTTGTATTGAAAATCCGAATTTTGTTGGTGATGGTGAGTGACGAAGATTTCCAGATTGATTTCAGGCTGATGAATGTGTTTCTCGCCTTCCCGATTCTCGATTTGACATCCTCGTCGTCCTCCTGTAGTTGAGACAATGCTCCCTAGATAAGTGAATGAAGTAACCTCTTTCAAATCCCTCCCGTTGATGGTGATTGACGTTGGATGTTGTTGCTGTTGTTGGTTGGTTATTTTCATAACCTCCGTCTTGTCTATGTTTACCTGGAGTCCTGTCCACTTGGTTGGTAAAAATAATTTGGTGTAAAATGCAAACATTAGTGTAGAGCCACGCAATGATGAGGAACTAATTGAAATGGAATGCATATTTCTCCGCTAAATCTGTCGTTTTTTCTAAATGCATAAATGGAAATTCGGAAAACCACTGATGCAATGAAATCTCTTCTGTAACTTGACTTATCTGCCAGAGTTTAGTGAGTCACATGAGTGTAATTTTTCTCCTCGCTTTCTTTTCCTTTTTCCTTAATTCTTCTAGATTTCAATGCGAAAAATTCAATTCTTGCTGAATCAGCAAAAGCAGGTTTAACAAGCACTGAGGACATCAATGAAGCAAAGAGTAATTTACGTACAGTTCAAGATAGACAATCGTTTCGATTTTCTTCATCTGGACGACTTTTACCATACAAGTCACCAATGTTGTTACACATAAAAGGTAATTTTTTTTCAGAAGAATTGAAATTTTTCGGACTTGTGAACTTGTAGGTAGGGGGGGGGACAAGTGGTGTCTAGTGCGTCTTTTTTATTACTTTACTTTCCTAGTTAAACATAGGGCTTTGAGTTAGACCTTCGAAGTTTCGGTAGCAGTAGTGTTTATTTTTACGGAATGGGGTTGGTAGCCTAGTGCCAAACCTTCCCTTTTTACCAGTGTATAACTGGCTTAGTGAGAGAGCTGTCTGCTAACAATTTATGTCAATGTTTACGTCCCAAATCTTGGTTATGAGAAAAGAACAAGAACAAAGACTAACTCAACAACCAATCACAGCAGACTTTGAGTGGGCGGATACGATTAGCACATATATCAACGGACTGTCTAAGAAACGACAGCAAAGAGATAACAGAATAACCTTCAGCAGGAAAAAAAACCAATCAGGCAACATCACCTCTCTGCTAACAATAACGAATAATAATGTACATAAAAATCTGTAAATAATTGTTGATTTTCTCAACAAACGATCTGTTGCCTGGCCCTTGTCTTCTGTCGTTACACGTCTACCGAAGGTTGAAACCCGTACGACATGCGTGGTTGGTGAGCATTCTACCGTTGTGTCTGGTGTAAAAATGTATAATGTAACACAGAAATAGGACACTGCTAGTTAGTCGTCTTTTTAGTTCCTCAAACTACCTAATCACCTGAACCATCTTAACTACCTGCGTGGTTGAGCTTGATATCTTGACATAGAGTGTTTTTCAAGCTGGGTCGTTGTGTGTTACTGGTAGTATAGTGACTTACTTGTCATTTACGTGGAGTTGTCTGGGTTGGCTTTTCAGCTGACTACTCATCCGTAAATCTCGCCGATTTTGCCAATCGTTAGTAAGTCCAGAAAAGAGAGAAGATTAGGCGTATGAAGCGAGAAAACTAAGCGTCATGAAAACAAAATTACATCTTTACTGAAACTTCAAAGCTTGGAGCCCTGATGTTTCACTCGGAAAACAAGAATTGAAATACAAAACAGTCTGGTGTCAGATTCGCGTTTAAATCTTAATACAATCTATTGATGATGCATAGAAAAATGATTATGTTCAGATTAACATATGTAATGATAAAAACCAAATATAAATTCTTTTGTGGTAATAAGAAGAATGCATACGTGATAAAGTATTCCTAATCTATTTAAACAACAGCTTAAAAGGATGAGTATTCTGCACTGAAAACAACTTAATAAAACTAATCTACCAGGGGTTATGTTCATTCTACTTTTATAAGAGTAAATAGGATTCACTTATATACACACTGAATGGTAAGATGGAAAGTGTTAGATGGTAAATAGTGAAACATCAATCTATCCTTTGAAAAGTGTTATAAGTTTTGAAAACAGAACTATCTTTACTCTTAAATATATTGTCACCTAGTAGACTGAACAGTGCTCAATATTTGTGTATTGATGTCTTCACCTCCATGACATTGTAGTTTTAGAGGAGTGAATAAGTAGCTTGTTTGCTTTCAAGTAATATGAGTAGTCAGAATTAGCTTTCAGCTCATCGAATCTACAGTGTCATCTAGTTGCCATTACTTCCGTTCCTTTCATCATTCTTGTGATAATCTCAGGCCATGTTATGCAGTTTCATCGGTAATTCTGGATTTGAACTCAAGACAAGAAAAACACTGCGAATTACTGCTTTTCTTTGATTATACACTAGGCAGCAACTAATGTTGTGCATCTAATCCTCCCTTGGTTTGATGCAGACTAAATTCTATCAGGCAAGTCAAGTTTGCAATGTGGCTATTATACTAGATGGCTCTTCTTCATAGTGCACTCGAAATTGCTGTGGACTTAGGTTTCGTGCTTGTTGACACTTGTTAGTGAGGCATATCTACAATCTTGAACGAACACATATCTCTTCCTAGATTCAGACCCGAGTCACCCAGTGCTGTAGTCAGGAGTATTAACTCTGAGCTATTTGAGTCAGTAATTGACCTCCTGGGTAATCTGATTGGACACTAGATACTGACTAAATTCGTGCATCTAGTCTAACATGAAAATTAGGTCCAAGGATTTCTACCGATTGCCTTGAAACGTCTAATAAAACTGCTGTTTCCCGTCAGATTTTCTCAATGTTTTTGGAATTCATTCAACTTCCAACTCATATTATTACCCTGTGTTGTTGTGATCAGAGGCGCTTAGAAAGTCTGTTGTTAGCAAATTTGAGGGTACAGCTGACGTATATGATAATGGAAGAATCCTTTATATTTTAATGTTATCCACTGTCTTTCGAATGTAAAAAGCTTCTGTCAGTTAGTTTAGCGAAGATAATCTTAGGCCGATATGTAGAAATTTAACACTAATCTTTGATTTCAGGTTACGCTACGGATTCATATCAGTTAGAGAACCACTGAAAACCAGTAGTGGAGTACTAGACAGCTACTTCGTCCTGGCTTGGGACTCATCATCAGTACCTACTCGCTAGGTTTGGAACGCAGGACCTTCCGTTTACAAACCTAGCTCGTATACCATTCAGTCACTGGGAACCAGTTCGTTGGTCAACCCATGAATTCTAACTTGCATCAACGAATGTCATCGGTGGGAACTCCATCTCCACTCCTGACTGGATGTACCCTACTGGTCACGACTTCTCCATAGAACACTTCCAGGCAACTTCATCGTGTAGCTGGCCACAAGCGAGCAGTGTCTGCGTAGTACTGATGAGTCCTTAACTAGGACGAAACTACTATTCATTACTCCCTGTTTTTCTATTCGTGGTGTAACCTGAAATAAATAGAATCCCTACAAACTAATTCTTGAAAATTAATGCTTTAATTATAGTGTATCATCAGTAATGCCTTGTTTGGAATTCATTTTAAGCCAACTTTTATCTGTTGTACAGAACAATTTGATATGGTTTGACAATTAATTTTAATGAATTGCATGAACAGTAACGTTGTGTCTATTTACCCCCTCTCACCTTATCCCTCCATTAAAAGTCTTGCGGGATTACCAGTTGAATATTTGAATAAATCTTTATAAGATATGGGTTTGTTTTTAAACTGCATTTTGTTTTCTCCTTGATTACATATCTGTGTATAGGTCGACGACATGTTCAAGTGCGTTTAGTTGCACCATCAGCTAAATCTATGAATTCTGGTGATTGTTTTGTTCTTATCACAACAAATGATGTCTTCGCTTGGTTTGGTGAATCGGCGAATATTGTTGAAGTGAATAAAACTCGTGAGCTGGCTTCATGGATTTATAAAAAGCATGAATTATCATATCATGGAAGTTTAGGTGAATCTGTGGCTAACACAACCAATGGTTATATTTCAGTACATGAGAATGCAAATGCCACTGAAGATGATGATGATGGGGAGTTAGATAATGAAAGTTATGTAGTTATCAGTGACAATGTAAATCGATCCTACTCTGCAACTTTGAAGTTTTGGAAAACTTTAGGATATGATTCACCACAAAAGGTTCATCGTAAGTATTTTTAATTTGTGTAAAATTACAGAAATTTTGAGGGTTTTAATTTTAGTTAACTTGATAATTTTTAACATTAATTGAATTTATTTTAAATGTATTGAAATATATCAAGTTTTGTTAGTAGATTTGTTAGTAGTGGATATATATCAGATTTTCAGGGTGTTTCGAGCTTCGGTATACTAGTGACTGATTCACATGAGTAGTTGGGTCCCATCAAGTAACAGTGGTTACTTTCTAGCTAGATCGCCCAATGTGGGGCTCGAACCCACAACCCTGATATGGCTCAAAATCGTTTTCAATGGTTAGTGCAGATGCATTCACTCCTTGTGACTTTAATATCCAATAAAACTATATGCTTCTTCGATATTACTATTCTTTTTGTCTCATATCTCTGTTTACTGTCTCTATTTTGCATTTCTTTTTGCTCTTTTCTCTTGTTTTGTGTGCTAAGTGAAGTGTGGTGACTCCAACTGCTGCACATCGGTGCAAAGTTCTATGTTGAGACCAATCAGTCTAGCTTGACTGAAGTGATTTAAACACTGCAAAGCTGGTTGCTCTCATTTGAGGCTGGTCTCATCAGCGATGTAAGCAGTTTGGTTTAGAAAACCACCCGAATCGGAGCAACCTATTTGGGCAAACTGATCTCATGTCAAAGTGAATTCCGCATTTTTGGAAAATTAATTCGTCATTCTCAGTTGACACAGTTCAAGGTGAAGTTTGACTACAGTTTCCTATGGAAACTGAAATCGATTAGATCACACAATATGTGATCTGCTTGACACCATAAATGGCAAGCAAGAAATTATCCATAAATGCTTGTGTGTAAGTTTGCTCTTAAGCTTTTCTTCATTCAGTCTGTTGTATGCAGTTCAGACTATTATGTATTGGATTAGTTTACTTCAGTTTTTCAAATCATGGAAAATACCCATCGGAACATTAGATTGAAAAGAACAAGAAGTTCAGCAAAGATGGCGGTCTTTTCGGCGATTTCATTCTCAAAAGCTGTACAATCGCACTTATATAGATTAGTTTACATGGACACAATTATTATTTGTTTAATTCCGCATAGTAACGGAGGTGATAATAATATTCAACTTGATATGAAAGTTTGAAGGTGCGAATATAGATTACAAGGAGGTTAGAGACAAGATTGCATAGGATTAGAAAATAGTTACAACGTATGCAAAATTAATATCTGATAACTGGAGAGATAACTTTTAAGGCAAATTAAAGGTGATAATTATTTTCAACTTGATATGAATTACAAGAGGCTTAGAGACGCAGGGATAGACCTATAATTCGTTCTATCCCTGCGTCTCTAAGCCTCTTGTAATTCATATCAAGTTGAAAATAATTATCACCTTTAATTTGCCTTAAAAGTTATCTCTCCAGTTATCAGATATTAATTTTGCATACGTTGTAACTATTTTCTAATCCTATGCAATCTTGTCTCTAACCTCCTTGTAATTTATATCGCTGAAAAGATATCTTTACTTCAGTTTTGCAGAATCAACCTACCAGTCTTCAAATTATAGTAGTAAAAGTACCGAAGATTAGCGCTCAAGTATAAGGATGAACAATTGTCTCCACACTATACAAATGGACACATAAATGAGAAGAAACTATAAAAGCAAGAAATATATGGAGGATAACAGAGTAATTACAATCTACTGAATACGGGAAATCACATAGAGTGAATTTACCTAACCCACTAAGAGAGATTTTGAGCCATATGACAAACAGTCTCGAGTCGTTGGATCTTACAATGCTGAGAATCCTAGCCAGGCAGTCTATGTCACTCTCTGTGTGGGTCAAACCAACAGTCAAAGACTCTGCAGATTGATGTCATGCTTTGATGTGATCAAGCCAAACCCTTTTCCAACCAATCTTTTGTCTATAAACTTCGCATGGTCAGTGTGGGGGGGGGAGGTTATGGCCTGACATGTGTAGCATGCGTCTGTAGCTTCACAACCTTATGGTTTGACTTTCCCTCTCTTACCTGAGAGTGTATGCCTAACCTCAATATTACTGACTGTATTATGCCATATAATGCAAGAAATGGAACAGAAATGTACACTACCAAAGAATATCCTGTTAAATTTTTCTGCTGACATATAATTTAAAATTTCTTATTGTAAAATGAAAAATTTTGTTCACCATTTAGTGGTGTCTTAGCATGGAAACTGCTGAAATCGGCAAAAAGTAAAAACTGTGAAACAAAAGAAATGAATTAGGTCAATTGAGACCAAATATTTTGTTCTCTTAGTTCTAATTACCTATATCACGAGATAATAGTACGACGATTTCGTCATTACTATTTACTAGGCAAGCGTCTACTAGGGTTTTACAACTATGTAAGCTAATTAGTGAGAGTTTGAAGTTGCATAATCAGCAAGTAGCATAGTTAATAACAATAGACGGTGATAAGTAAATGTGGATCTTAAACCTAGACAAAGAGTTTGTTTGTACATTCAGATTAACAGTTAATTCTAGTGAACGCAGTAGTCATACGACCAATATTGCTCAGAGTTGTTTCATGTAGGCAGGTGGAATGCCATTTGAAAGTATGAGTGGTGCGTTTGAGACTGTGCGACAACACCATCACGCACTGGGAAATGCAAGTTTATCCAGTCAACTAGTTCAAATACGATGACGTGACCACCCTGGATTCTACTGCTAGTCACCATCCACCAAATAATATATCATGTAGTAATTGCGAAATGAATGTACGGTTTGAAAATCAATGATAAGATTCATTCTCTCTGGTGGTATTTGTCACACTAGAGTGTTTTATCAGTCATCAAAGGGAATGTTCTCATCTTTGGTGCAAAACAAAACATCATGTTTCAATGTAAATTTTGTCGTGAAGCAACATCAATTAGACATCACTAGTAACAAAGTAGTATTGGAGAACTGTTTCGTCCCCATTTGAGACTCTTTAACGGTCTACTTCCACTACACCATTATGGGTTGAATCCAGTACTTTCCGTTGAGTCGCCAGGAACTGGAATTCAATGACTCATAAATTCTAATTTCTAGCTACCCATGATATAGCAACACCTCCAAGTAATGTCTTCGATGAGCGTGCGCTCCGTTTTGATATGATGAATCCTAATTCTCATTATATAGCCTCAGGACATCCATCTAATGGCTATCAGTGAGTTGATGTTTGACATTTATATTAAAGCCTTGATAATGAAATCTCGTCTCATATAGCTTGTCTATCAGATTCATTCTTCACTTTGTCTGGATTATTTAAACTAAATTTCCTCGACGTTCACTACCAATATTCGAGGATGTCAAACTATAATAGTCGTCGATCGTATAAGTTTGAAAGGATCTGGAACAACTAATTAGAAGAAAGGCGCAAAAGTGTTTGGAAAATTGTATTTTAAAACATAGTTTATTTTATAATAGATCTCTGGTTTTCCACAGGGTGTAGAAACGTCAAACTAGGTCTTGTAAGCAACGCACCCTTGACATTTATGATTAATGTGGTGATTAGTTATCTCAAGTTCCTTTTTGAAGGTCCATTGATCGTAGTAACGGTTATTATTATTATTTAAAAACGCTCAGAACTCCTTCCCTTTTCGCCTTTATCTCCCAATTATTCCTTTTCACAAATTCCTCATACACTGAAATTACACGAGAGTGGGGATGTTTAGTTCTAATCCCCTTCCCGCGGATGTTAGCACAGGGGGTGAAACCAATGGTGGTCTGACCAAAACATGGCAGCAGTCAATGAAGTCCAGAAAACAATTAGTTTAAGCCAGTTACCTAGGAAGATGTAGACCTCCTGACTGGTTTGCTTCCTCGGGATGGTAAACACCAATGAAGGCAGGAGACAACTGGTGATATGGCTTAAAATCGTTCTGAATGGCTGGTGCAGATGCATCCACTCCTAGTGACATATGATTTCCAATGAAACTGTTTTGTTCTTCGTTATTACTATTCCTTTGTCTCACGCCTCTCTTTACTGTCTCTGTTATGCATTTCTTCTACTTCTCTTCTTTTTGTGTGATACATGGAGTGTGGCGACTTGAAATGCCGCACATCGGTGCAAATTTCTATGTCGAAAACAAACCATATCACCCAAGAGTTAACGCCCAGCTGGTGGCGCCCCCCATTCAGATTCCATTCAAAGGCATATATGATGCGTCTGGTTTCACTCAACAGTCTCCAATCCACCTGCATTTCCTTCTTTATATTTGTTGTACAGTAGATTCTTTTTCCTTTCATTGCCTGACTTCCTTATTGTATATTCTTTCCAACTGGACATCTAATTTCCACTGTCTTGAGTTGGCGAAGGCGGCTGTTGATGAAAAGTTAGCAGTAACCTGTTGAAAATGATTTTGTTGACGCGTACGCCCAACTGTCTGAGCTTGACTTCGGTTGGTATTGAAGATCCAGATACCGTTTGACACGTTGAATACTGCAGATTTTCATACTGTTTTCAGAACGATGCAGGTTTGTATGTTTAATTATCCCGTCCACTACACGACAGAAGGCTCCAGAGAATGATTTTTCGTTTATATATATATATATATATACGGTTAAGTATGTGTGTACAGGTTGTCTGGCATCTTGATTTTTGTGTTCAATGCGTAAGTTAGAAAGTGTTTATTTCTTGGTTTTAAGAAGAAAGCGAAAAAATAAACCATATGTCAAAGTCTGAAAAACATAAAAAACACACTGGTGAACAGATGAAAAAACAGATCAATAAATATATACCTGGATGGATACACCGAAATATTTCTCAATATAGTGAATTTCTTTGTAACCATGTGCTGTTAATACACCAGAAACAATAACAATCAGTACTGTTTTTATGATTATAACAACTATTATCATTATTATTATTATTATTACTACCAGTAATAGTTTGACTACTTGAAAACTTACTGTTAATACCAGCGGGTGGTAGGCTTGTCTTTTGCTTTTGAAGTAAAGTCTACCATTGACCAGCGTGTTTCAAGTGAACATTAAGACTGTCTGTTAGTCATCTGGAAAGTTATAAATGCAAACTGTCAACATCAGCCATAGATATTTGTGTCTTGGAAGGATACTCTAGGTTTGCGGCTTTACAACCTGACAGTAATCATCACACACATCAAAATGTTAAATGTCATTGTTTTTAATCATTTAAAACCTTTGGAGATAAGCAGATTTTCAAACGGGAGAATATAAGACTCATCTCCATTCTTATCTAGTAAAATATGTAATCATTGTTTTTCTATCATTCCCCTTACTTTTATGTTGTTGTTTTTATTTTTTGTTATTTTGGCCAACTTTGTTTTTACACACTTCTTTTTTAGCCGCTGGTCCACCTGAAGAAGATGAACGTTATGAATTGATGATTCAGCGTACAAATCGGGTGTATCGTGTAACACCGAATGAATTAGTACCGTGTGAAGAGTATTGGGGTAATCCAGTCAAGTATAAGATTCTGCAATCAGATCAGGTTTGTTCAAAAATTTGAATTGTAGACAAAAGTTGCTGTTTTTTGTTTCTCGTGTAAAAGCAGTAAAAGCAGTACTACCATAATTAAACTGTATGGGATTACCGTAGTTAGCAGGTTGATTACGTAATAAAATGATGGGAAAAGTGATAATATCACTAATAATTAGTTAGAATAGTATAAATGAAGACAAGTTCAACTATGAACCTGTGAAAATTTACCAGCCTGGTTTAGTAAGGGTAGAATTAAATGTATAAAACGTTCAATTCTGTCACACTAGGCAGATATAAGATGTCATATATGACGCTGGCTTAACGTTCAAGGTTATATACCACATTCCACAGTCATCAACACGCATAGTTCGCCTACGTCTTCGACATAATAGCTGAAAAACACGTTCAGGCGCTGTTAATACCTTAACCAAATCGGATTAAAACTTCCCTTCTTAGAGTTCTTACTGCTCTTATCTCTTTTGCTTTTTCTGAGTTTGTTAAATTTTTTTTGGCTTATTTTATCTTCATGAAAAATCCCTATTCGAAAATTAATAGAAGGATGAGCAGTAATTCGGCGAACAGTCTTTTTTTGGCGAATTTATTTTCACAGCTGTATAATCGCAAATATATATGGTTATTTTGTAGGTGTTTGTATATAAAATTTGTCGAGCGAAAAAAAACAGTTATTAGGTTTTTGTTGGAGTTACGTAATACAAAAAGCATTCAGAGGAATTAGATATTGATATAAGAGGGTAGTAACAAAAGTGATGAGTTGTCACAAACGAGTATTAAAGAAGAGTTGCTTAATAACATGAACAGTTTAATGAAAGAGTTGTCCTCAGGGTGAACGTGGAAACAAAATATAATACGGAATTACGTAAGAGTTTTTGAGGGAATACAAGAGTTCTAAGTAGTTGGAAAAACAAACAAAAGTTAAGTCAGATCAATCTAGTTGTTACCATGAGAGTAGAGAGAAATTTCTTATGGAATTTTATCCCAAACTATGTAAAAATTGTTATAATTGTAACTCAATTTGCAATTTGTGAATCTGATTTAACTCATTATTAGTTCGCTCGCTACAGTTAGTCAGAATCTGGTCTTCTATATATAACTAAAGCTGTTGTAATACTGTGGTGAGACCTGTCTGCAAGCCGAAATTGTAGACAATAATTTACGTCAATGTTTACGTCCCAAATAGGGGTCATGAGAAAAAACAATAACAAAGCTTAACATAGAGGAACTCAACAACCAATCACAGCAGACTTAACATGTGCAAATACGATTCGCAAATATATGGCTTTATTTTCTAGGAAATGGTCACAAACAGTACAGAATAACCTTCAGTAGGAAAACAACCAATCAGAAGATGTCGCTTCTCTGCTAACAATAACGCTAATAATAATGTACACAAATGATCTGTTGCCTGGCCCTTATCTTTTTGTCGTTACCATACGATTGACTAAACTGGAACACTGTTTTCTAACAACAGAAAAAACACGTTCAGGTGCTGTTTCTAACGTGACCAACCATTTCTTTGCTTATCCAAATCGAGTTCACTTTTATGAGATCATCTCTAAACAAGCGAAATGGCTATCCAGTGTTTAGATCACTTTGATCTAGTTAGCCTGGGAGCACTACTGATTTATGTGATCGGTATACAACTACTCATCTCAATCAATCAGTAGTATATTTGGATCATAAAATTCAACAACTTGACCTTCTGCTTTAATAAGAAGTCAATAATAATTGTGTATTTTTTTTAGAAATTTTTATTCCGAAATAGTTGTACTTTTCTAAGATTCAATGTGTTATACAAGTAGAGTGGAAACAAGGTCAGATAAATTCGCATGAATTTCTCTTCTCTTTCAACTGTTATTATTATATTGTCAGTGGCGAGCAACCTTGTACTTCACGTGACATCATTGTTTGGATTACAGGTATAAACAGTTTAATGCCTATATACAGATAAGTGAAAGATGTGTGCTATGAGGTTAACATTGTTATCTCGATTGTTGCACACTTTATTTGGTTATTAAACTGAACACTTATATAATAAATAGGCAGTTAGACTTAATATGATCACTAGTATCCATCTATGGATAAATGGTACAATATTGTCTTACTTTGTTTCACGTGATTACAAATGATTACAGTTGTATGTTGTAATTGAAATAGACTGTATACTTTTTTCACAAGTGAAATGAACTGAAATTTTTAATTTAAAGCTTTGCGCAAAAGTACATCAGTTTGAAATTGCCATAGTTCGTAGAAGCATATGCATAAGCATAGGGAAATATGAAAAAAGGAAATTCAAGGAGATGTAAAGAACGAAAATGTTGCGGAGAAGGGATAATTACATGGTGAGACCAGTAGTTCAGCCAAGAGTCTCTTTCCGGCGAATTCATTTTCATAGCTGTACAATCGCAAATATATATGGTTGTTTTGCATGTTTGTGTATATTAAATATACATTAAGATACTTGATATGAAGCTTGACTTCAAAGGTGACCTACTCAGTGATGTCCTAAGGAGGAGAATTTTGACTTATTTAAGAACTTTCGCGGCAACACTGAGGGTAGTGTTCTCCAGGTATCCATTGATCTGCCGAAGCCCAAAGGATAAGACTCCACACCTGACCACTTCTATGTGTATATGTCAGTTCACCTGTTGTTATGGAGCCAGGTACATTGGTTGTTCGATGCCCATTCTATCAAAAAGAGTCAAAGAACACTATCCAGCGTGGCTGTAGAAAGGAAGTAGTGGCTGTATAAGGAGTGGAATAATCGAACATCTCGTCAACACTGGTCATTCCATCTCAACAAACGCCTCCTTCAAAGTAGTCTATAAAGTGAGAGACAGCCTGCCAAAGACAATACGTTTCCGTTATCTTTGCATTGCAGAATGCTTAGCCATTGAGTTGGAAGAACCAGAAGTATGCATACGAAAGAAAAATATTCAGCCACTTCTACTATCATGGTAACAACTCTGTTGATTTGACTTAACTTTCGCTTGTTTGGTTGTTTTTTTTGAACGACGTAAAACTCTTGCGTAATTCTGTATTTTATTTTGTTTCCATTTACACCCTGAGCACAACTCTTTCGTCAAACTATCCATGTTATTAAGTAACTCTTCTTTAACAATCGTTTGTGACAATTCATCAACTTTGTTACTGCCTTCTTATATCAACATCCAATTCACCTGAACTTACTAATTGTATTTTCGTTTGCAATCCTTCTTACAATATGCTTAAAAGATGCTAAATGCATTTCTTTGAAGTTATATAAGGGACTACTAATTGGAGAAAAGGGATTTCCTGGAGTACATATCTACTCCTGTGACTGTGTATACCCAGGTCTCTTTGTGTTGCTTTTCCGATAGAAAGCAGTGCAATGTATACAGAGAAAAGTTTTCCACTGCTTTGGTTTCTTCCTACTGTGTGTCCTTCAAGGTGCAATCCTTCCTTTTAACATGACTTGCAACATCTTGATGAAGCCAGTTGTGTTCAAGCACGCTAGTGACCTGAGTACTTCCATGCCTGTTAACTCCCGATCAGATTGTTCCAAAATGAATAATCTTTTTATTAGAAATTATCTGATGGTTCTTAAAATAAATCTTTCTAGATTTCAGACTAATATTTTCACTTTCAGACACAAACGTAATTTACATCGACCTGTTCTTTCGCATGATTCTTGTATCAATACAAGAAAATGAAATACAAACGAAGTCAAGTGTTAAGTAGCTCGGATCAAATCTTTTCTCTAATCTTCCCTAGTCTTCACATATCCTGTTTATTTATGGTAAAATATTTCGTCGAAAGTTTTACATCAGAAGAAACTAAGACAATCTGGTATCACTTAACTTCACCTTTTACGGATTGTTATGTCTCTTGCATTCTGCCAATTCTTCTTTGTCATTCCCGCTTCATCAGTCTTGGGTTAATTCAAAAAAGACTTTGATACATTATAAAGCGCACTAAAAAGTGTTGATAGGGTGTATGGTGTGCTGCTGAACTAAATCCTTAATACTTTTTCGAACAGATACTTGAAATGAGGAAAGAAATTAGCAAAAGTCATCATGCCGGATGTTGGTGCAGATACAGGAATCGAACTTTGTCATGTGAACCTCATTTCATAGTTACGTTTAAGAGAGAACATTTCTTTATTTGGTTACAGGATTTCATCATGAGCTGACAGTTGTTTCGTCCTAGTTTGAGGCTGTTCACAGTACACACTCACCTATTGCTAAAGAGTCTCTAACTAGGCTGACGAAACAGCCGTCCAGCACTCCCTGCAGCTTTTCCAATGGCTCTCTAACTAATATCATCTCATGATGAAATCCTGTAACCAATCAATCAAATCCCTACAAAACAATATTTGAATTTCTTTATTTCTTTATTTTGCTTTTCTCTGATAGGCATTTGTTTTCGATTTTGGCTCTGAAATGTATTTATGGACAGGTAAACAAATCACATCAGAACTACGTCAAGCTGGTATTGAATTAGCCAGAAAGCATATAATATGAATTATGATTTTCGTCAGTGTCAAGTGAATCCGCTGGATCCAATGAATTGTAAGTGTGTATATATATATATGTAATCAATAAGTGGTATTATACACTATGTAAATAAATTTACACTTAGGTTATATGATTAAAATTTTTTATTTTATCATTACCTGTTTATTATGTAAAGTAAATCAAGTCATTAAGTCACATGATCTTGATCTGTTTGTTTTGATTTTCCAATAAACAAAGTATTTTACATTACTTAAGTATCGTTGAGAGTGGTGTGATCCAGTAAGATACAATTAATTTTCAGGCAATACACAGGTTTTTCAAATATTGGTTTACCTAGATTTGATAAGCTCATGCATGGAGTGAAGTCAGATAGAGAACCAGTGAATACCAAGAAGAGCTGAAGAGCGGTTTCGTTCTAGTTTTGCGAATGTTCGGCGGCTACCTATCACGACCCCATGGGGTATAGAACTCAGGATCTTCGGTTTATGTAGCGTACTCAACGATTATTCAGCCACAGGGAAAAAAACTTAATGGCCAGTCCATGAATTCTGAATTCTGACAACTCGCGATATGCATAGTGAGAGCATTTTTCCTACCACTCAGCTTTATGGACACTCTTGGTCATGCCTTCTGACTAGAACTCCACACAACACAGGTGCTGAAAAACCAGTAAGTGCTTGTGAAAGTAACTCATCTAAGAAAATGTTGCGAAGTGATCACGCTGTGTCATGAATTGGCAGAAGTTTGAATCCATGGGTTGGCCATTGGATCAGGTCCCAGTGACTTAATTGTCTACAAGATAGCTCGTCTTGTAACTAGAAGGTCCTAGGTTCGAATCGCGGCGGTAGGTGCGTACTGATGAAAAGTCCTAAACTAGGCTGACAAAACAGCTGTTCAGTACTCCTAGGTGGATTTCCAATAGTTCTCAAACTGATGTCAGTTCATGATGAAACCCTCCAACCAATCGAATGTTTATCTCTTCGGATTTGATTTTGATACATTTCCTAATCGAATGTTGATCTAACTGATGTCAGTAAGTGATAAATTTTGTTTTATACCCTTTTTGTTAAAATTTGAAAGATACATCTGTATGAATATTTTTAAAGTAAATATTATATAAATAGTATATGTCATGGATGTATTAAAAGAAAATACTTTAGAAAAATAATAGAAAACGTATTAGTCAAATATTGACATCAGTTGTGTGAAAACAAGAATTCAACTTGAAATAAAATAAATTTTTTGATGTTGACTATTTACAGACAGTTAGAGAACCATTAAAAACTAGTACTGAAGTGTTGGATGTCCTCTTTTATCCCAGTTCGGAGCTCTTCAGCAGTTCGCATCCAATGATCACACCTGAAGATGTGACCATTGACCAGGAGTGTCCACCAAGTAGAGTGTAAAGACAAATAGACTAGCGGTTTTTCTGCATATCATAAACTAGCAAAAGTCAGAATTCATATGCCATCGGGTCCCATCATTGTAGCTGAAAGAATGGTCAACAGACTGGTCCTGTGCGTCGGTGACACAGTGGTTAGGACTGTCGCTGACCATGCACATGGTCCAGGGTTCGAGCCCACGCCGACGCACACCTGATATCTAATGTCGGCCTGCAAAATTTGGGCTACCGATATCCACGCTGAAAATTCCATACTTGTACAAAAATACGGTGTGGAATCAAGCTGTAATCAAAAATAAAAAATAAAAGTCCTGAGTTCGATCTTTGAAAAGAATTTGTACGCTTGAAGAGTCCTTATTGATATAAGTATAAACTTGGGCACTGTGGTAGAGTATAACTCCATTATGGATAAGATTTTATTTTGATAAATCACTGATGACGTTTCGAGCACAAACTATTGCTCATAATCATATCAAGTTACACACACATGTATATAAATGAAAGAAAAAAGTTGTGTGAGTAACTTGATATGATTATGAGCAATAGTTTGTGCTCGAATCGTCATCAGTTAATATAACTGCACAACACTGTGTGATTTATCAAAATAAAATCTTATCCATAATGGAGCTTGAAGAGTCCCATAGTGAAATAAATGTTTCTTCAACTGATCATAATCCATGATCTAAATTTGAACTAATTTAATCCTTGCAAGTCAACACTTTAAATTTAATAATTAGTGTTTTGTATGGAAGTCTGAGACTAAAATAAGAGTTTCACAGATTTAAAGTCTCTAATACCACTACTGAGGTAGTATAGTTAAAATCAGATTTTCTACGATTACATCTATTGAATTCTATTGGTTCAAGGGACAATTTGGGTATCGTTATTAAAAGCTTTTTGTTAAGGTTTAGTTAACAATTTCTAAAAATCTATAACGTTTCTTTGAAATGAGTTTTAGAATCTCTCCAAAATCTCCCAGTTCATTTTATCACTTAGAATGAGCCTCTTGGCTCTGTTAAGTAACTGATATCTGAGAGTGACGTCTATCATGAAACGACACAGCTTACTCAAAGATTGATAACTAGGGATATATTTTTGAGTCTTACTTTGAAATTCCCAACATTGTTGACTCATCGGAGATCAAACTTATGACGGTTTCATAACTACAGGTGTATAATAACTTCTATCTAAAGCTCTTAGTTGCATATGCACATTAGGATGTGGCGTGACTGACTGACTAATTAACTAACTGATCATCGTATGAGTTTTACTGATACCCTGACCTATAAAATACTTGATAAACAAATTAAAAAGGAATGTGAGAAAAAATCAATTCACGCTGTGTTACTGAATTTAGATTTATTCACTTGACAAATTATTCTTGGAACAGTAGTTCAAATTTTTTTGGTCAACCAAGTAATGAAGGTTCTAGGTCTTATTATCACTATACTATACAGGAATTCTCGAATGAGTTAGTCTGATTACCAGTCCAGCCCCAAAATCATCAGTCTAATCGCAAAGATCACATAGACGAGTGCTTAACAAACATAGGAGGAATATGTGCCAGTTTTAGTTTAGATGCATAAAGTGTTCGCTGTAAGGAAGGAAAGTCAATCCATGAGGTGGTAAGTTGTATCGGCTTTAGCCTTCTTTACTGAGCGATGTTACTTGCGCATGCCTAACCACCGCCTTCCCCGCGGGCATTGCTAGCTGATATAGGTGCAGGTTGGAAAAAGGTAAGTGGTGGCCAAACAAAAACATGGCCTCATCAATCCATGAAATCCTTGACAGTTAAACTGAGTCGGTCAGGTAGGGAGATGCAGACTTCCGGGTTGGGGCCCTCGGACTCTAGGAATCAATGGCTGGAGACAATAGGTGACATGGCTCAAAATCGTTGTCAATGGCGCAGATGTATTCAGTCTCTGTAATCTTTCATATTCCTTTCTACCAAAACCCATTCTGTTTCGCTCTTATACTTGTCAAACTGTATTGATTCTCTTCACTCATCTTCTTGTCTACCTTTGTGTGCTATTTGGAACGTGGCAACTCGAACTGGTGCACTTCGGTGCCAAGTTCTATGTTGAATCCAGACAGACAGATTAGAAAGAGTTAGGGGAGATCAAGTTTGTATTTATACATGAAGTCTGTGACTGTTGATCTGAGTTAACCGCTGACATGTAAACTGTCTGTTGGGGGTCCTTGGTACGCTAAGAACCAATAATTAAAGACTATTGATCTTAAGACTAAAGGCTTTACTCATTGGGTCAGATGTATTTACTCTATGTAACCTATTAGATCAATTAGATTTTTACTGTTTCCCATGTGTAATTATTCTTTCTACTGTACATTCTCATTCAGTTTTTGTAATCTACGTTTATGTGCTATATAGAGTATAGTCACTTGAACTGCTTCACTTCTGAGTAAAGTTCAACGTTACAAATTCATTTAGTCAATCAGTATGCATTCTAAAAAAAGGTCAGAATATGAATTAGATAGACTAAAGTACCCAGTCAATTATTGTACAAAGGTTGATGCTATTAACTACTTTATAGTTTGTACTTTTAAACAATTTTCAATTACATTACATAACATTACAATTTATCAGAGCTATTAGCATGAATTAGCAAAAATACTAATTGAATCTCTCTCTCTCCCCTTCGATATTTAGTTAGTTAGTTATTTAGTTGATTAATTGTAATCAAAGGTAGGAAATCTTTCCAGAATTGTGACGCAATCACTCCGACATTAATCTACTATGTGTTACTAAACTTGGAACTTTTAGCAAAAAAATAAAATGAAACAAAAAAGAAAAAACAGATGAAAAAAGAAAACACACCAAGAATGGTTTTTACCCTTTCAGTTGTAAAAAACAACAACATATGATGCTGTGAGGATGTAAAAAGTGAATGTAACATTTTGCCTTGCCCTGAACTATTTCCACACTTCTGTTGTAAGAGAAAATCGGCTTAGTTGTAACTTCATTTTCCTTTTAATTTGTGTGCATTCTTATATTTATTATTTTATCGTAATATATAATGATGTGTATTTTGCCGTAAAGTAAATGTCTGATATGTTGTGCGTTGGGGGTTTAGTGGTAGAATGCACCCGTCCTTACAGTCATTTAGGTTTTCTGGGTTCAACTCTCGGTTGATTATTATTATTATTGTTTCCTTTAGTTCCTAGAGGAACATAGGGATTCAGCCACACGTCTCCATTGCCTTCGGTTCTCTACTAACATTTTCACCTGGCTCCATGTCACTCCACATGCTTTTATCTCCTCTTCAGATGACTTTGTCCATGTCACCCTCTCACTGACGATCATCTCGCGGTTTACCATTCGGGTTCCACTCTAGAGCCTGTCGTATGATATCATTTGATGGTTTTCTCAGAGCATGGCCAGTCCATCTCCATTTCTTCCTGCATATTTGTTTCACAATCGGTTCCTGGTTGGTTCGCTCATTGCCAGAGATCCCTGTTGCTGATCTTTTCTGGCCGGTCATCTGATCTTGAGTATTGAGCGAAGACAACTGTTAATGAAGGTCTGTAGTTTGTTTGAGGTGCTCTTTATGACGCGCAGTGCAAGTCTCTGATTCGAATAGCAAGTAGCACTGACTTCACATTGGAGTTGAAAATCCGGATCTTGATTTTGATG